CGTTAGATTTTCCAGTTCCTATTGCAGCCTTCATTCCCCTGGTAATGTTCATGGGTAGGGAAGCCTCAACATTCATTACAAAGGCAAACCATTCAGCCCCCAAGACTGAATACAGGCCCAATAGAAAAACAAATTATCCTTCCCTGATATTATAAAGAGCTGATTTCTGTACCTCCTTTTTAGGAGGCTGTAATACACAATGAGAGCAACACAATGCCATTGAAATGGGCGTATTACTAACTTGAAATAAGGATAAAACCTGCAACTGCTCCATTTAAAAATAATGCAGTTTGGGATTTGTAGGCATTACTTCTATTCCAGAGTACACATGGCAGCTTTACTACATGGTTATCTGCAAAAGCATTCGCTTCAGGCTGGAACAAGCCATCACACTGACGGAGCAGCACGGATCCCTCGGGGAGCCACGGATCTGCTCCTTGCTAACTGCAGCGCTAGGAACTGCCATGGAACTCGTTGCTGAGTAGGGCTCATCCTGGACTGAGGTCAGCAAGGTTAATTCGACTCAAAGCTAAAGCAGAAGCAACCTCATGCTCCTGACATCCCCTTCCTTATGTTTTCCTCCCCGGTCAGCCGTGGCGCCTGGTTAGCTGTCTGCAGTCCTGCGCCTGAGAGACAACTAAGCTGCAGCACTCCAGCCGTCGAGTGGGAAAAAAAACCAATACACCCTAAGAGCAAATTTTGGGCAGCACTTCTTGGCACCCAAGCTGTGCAATTATAACTTTTTGATAAGCTGGAGCCCGACACCAAAAAGATGACTCCGCGATAGAAAACAGCACGGTTGCCAACAGCTAATATTAGCATGCAATGACCCAGCAAAGAAAGAGGAGCCGACCTGGTGCATCGTTCACCTGCCCGGCTACTTGACTCTGCTGCTTCAGCTCAGCGTCCCGAGCGCTGGGGGAGGCAGAGTGAGTCCGCTGGCTGCTGCAGCCCTCTCGTGGCCACGCAGACCCAACCACGCTCCTGCACGCCGGCTGCTGGGAAAGCACAGGCCAAAATGCTGCGTGGGAGGGACAACATGTTTTAAACAGCACAGCAAATAGTTATTAAAGAGCAGATTCATCCAAGAATAAATATATAAATAAATGGATCAGACACTTAGGATAGTATTTGTTCCAGGTGTACAAGTGGAGTCGTTGTTAAATGACTTGCTTTTCAAGAATCAAAAGAAAAATTACAGATAAAGCATTAAGCAGTCGTATTTTTAATGGGGTGCCCTGTTTCATCTCCCTAGGCTGTCACTAAACAGCCTGCTTTGAAGCGCTCCTTTTCTTTTGAGTGTTTACGCATTGATTTATAATGGTGTGGGTAAATTTTATGCTCGCAAGTTTTGCTCAGTATCTGCTTATTGGAAACGTGTCTATCTGCTCAGGAAAATCCAAGGGAGGTTGAAAACCTCTTGGGTTGGGGTAGATCTGGGGGAACCTGAACTGTTCCAAATTTCTGCAAAGACTAACAGGTACATGGTTCCTGAAAAGCAAGCCTGGTTTTTGGTATATTTTGTTTTTCATTTCAATCTACGAGGGAGAGACGGAGGCATCACTAAAACTTGGAAATAAACCGTGGGAATTAATAGTGGAAGGAGAACGCTGATGGGAGCAGTGCTGAGAGCCCATCCAACAGCCCAGCCGTATGCTCCCTGCCCAGTACTGTCAATGAGCACAATCAAAGGAGATACCTATAGAACAAAAAATAAAATGAATCAAAACTAAAAGCTTGTGCATGGGTATGGGGTACTCTGGAGGAGGTTGTCCAGCTTCGATTGACGCTTCTTAGACTGACAGCCAGTGTACTTACAGACCAGAGTGCCGCAGTCCTGCCGGAAGGATGATGTTACACTATCATTTTCCCGCTGCTTTCCTCTGGTTTTTCCTTACTGTAGTTTCAGAGGAAACATCTGCAGGAGAAATGGCTGTTCTTCCAAAAGTTATGAAAAAACACCAAACTAAAGCTAAAAAAAACCCCAAAGAAACAATGCACAAAGTGGAGTCATGATGACCGTGTGAGCTGACATTACCTTTTCAGACAGGAGCGCTGCTACCTCTGGCAGTAACGGCACCCAGGCAGATAGATAGGGGTGGGGGGTAGGTTTAGTGGCATCAGCAGGACTCTGGGTGACAACGACATCTAATATTTTGCAACCCAGTGTGCCAATCCATGTGTTCATGATGCTCCAGCCTTTTCATCAGTACCAGGCATCCATAAGGCAGCAGTATCTGAGCCCCTTCAGATGCACATGGGCACGTGTTTTCCAGCTTAAGCACAGAAAAAACAGTGTAGAGAGGCAGGCTCTGTGCCTGCAGGTATTTTCCATCCGAGCCGGTGCTTCCTGCCCTGAGTGCTATTTGCCAGGAGGCCGGCAGGACTGCAGGCTCCTTTGCCCCCATGTGCGCAGCCCAAGGTCTGCGCAGCACATGGCCCTAAATGCAGCACCAAATCCCGCTGCTGTCCTGTGCAGGGTCTCACTTTCCAGCTGGCTGCCCTATCTTTAGCCCTCTGAATAACTCAGAACCCTGTGGAAATAGTCTTAACTTACCTGTATTAACAGCACATAGGTTATATTTAAGTAACATTATATTTAAGTACAGGTACTGTTTTGCTGTACTCTAGCACAGCTGCTTTGAGCGAGCCAAGCTGCCTCCCGTGGCTGTGGCGCAAGGACGAGCTGCAGCTCATGCCCAGCTCTTCCACACCCTCAGGCTCGTCCTTCACATTTACAAGAAAACCTGAATGCTTCCATAAAATGGTATTTTGCATTTTTTTTATTTTTAACTAAATAACATCTTTGCTTTTCATTTTCTGTAAGACCACAGGTACAGAACAAGATGTGACTTTTTTAGTTTAAGATCGCTTTTATTGCATATGGAGAAAAACAGTAGTAAGAAAGTAACAAAATTAATATCTCCTGAAAGAGCATAGGGCAAGTATCATCCTGGGATCCAAAAAACTCTCCAAACAAAAAGGCTGATAAAGTTTTAAGACATGTCTATATTGCGAGATGCTGAGACGCTTGGGGCAGTAAGTACCTACACTGATAAACCATGTGAAATAGCCTAGGGCAACTAGAGCGACTTACAGCTTAGGTCTGGGTGCAGTGAGGTACCTTACGTGGGTGCAAAGCAGCAGGGACACCTTGCTGGTTTTGTCCTGGTGCAGCTGGAAGCAGTGGGTCTGCACGCAGACAGCACGTGGGCTGCAGCCTCCTCCCAGCTGCAAAGCAGCACCTGGTCATATAGACATGTCTTTAGGTACGTAAACATGCTGGCTATATAGAAAAGTGGGAATCTCAGTGTCAAAAGCACAGACAGGATGCATACCATTAAAAAAAAGGTCCATGTAGGTTTTTAGTGAGATGGACCTCTTTACTTTCTGGAAAACATTCTCCTAGGGCTGGACTAAATAGGCAGGGTGAAATCTTGGCTCCATGGATCTCAGCAGGACAAAGAGCTCATCCCTGGTGTTGCAGTGTCCGCTGACCCTGGCTAGAAACGGGAGGCTGTGGCTGAGCCCCACTTTCTTGCTTTCTTGTCTGCAAGTTGCCTTCTTTCTGTGCTACGCCTTTCTGTGGCCGCATCGCACTTATGCCCACCCTAACTTGTCTTCTGCTGTTGGTCCGGACTCTAGGATTCAACCACAATCATACTCAAGTTGTTGCTGAAGATGATCCTCCCGTCCTTTTTGCTGCTGCACTCGGGCTGGCAGAGAGCCTCCTGCAGCCGCTGCCGCAGCCCCGGGGGGGCTGTGCCCAGGAAGTTTTTTGTCCCCGTCAGGAAATCCATCATGCGGCCCCCAACCGGGTCCCCCTCAGCAAAGCACTCGGTTATATCCCAGCCTGACGGGAACTCATAAATGTGGTACACAACACCCAGTCTTTTCAAAACATCTGCGATGCCGTTGGAGGTGATGTAGTGGCCGCTGTCGGTGGAAGGCAAGCAGTGTCTGTACTTCTTCCATAAGCTGGCCCATCCGCTACTGTCTGCCAGAGCAGGAGGGAAGGTTACTTTTGCAAAGCCAAGGCAGTCAGACATCAGCTAATGCAACTACTAAATGACTTTGAAATGCTCCTTTGCTGCTGGCCCAGACTTTGCCAGGAGCAGCAAAAGAGCTTTCCCATTACTTGAGTCCGCTTATAAATGTCTGTGCCTGGAGAGGGGTAAAACCGTGATATCCCTCAGCCCTCCTTCCAAAACTCTCCTGTTTGTTTAAAGGAAACTCTGAGGAGACGGTCACTGGCACTGGATTTGCCCAGGAGTACACACAGATATATCAGTGCACCGAGCCTGCACATGCATGCTACCTATTAACTACCCCTTTGATAGAATAATGCAGATGTTTTTATACATTGAACTTCAATTTTAGGTGCACATCAAAGAATATATTCCACAAAAAGCCAGTCCCAGCTGCCAAGGGAAATAAACAGCCTACCAGCAATGCTAGAGGGACATTTAGTGGCAAATGTGGGGAAGCGTGCTTTATCCACCGCACCACAAGCCAAGGATTCATGAATGGCACACTGGAAAAAACATTCTTTTTTTTTTTTTTTCTTTTTTTTGACAAGTTCCATGAGGTTGTAAGTCTCTGTTTTTCCTGTCCTGCCATAAAGCCCGCAGCTCCTGGCAGCACCCATTGTCCTGCTGGGGTCTGGCCCATCGCTGTGTGGAGGGAAGGGCCCCAAAGACGGGTCCTCCCAGAGATCAGGTTGTGTTTTTACAGTGCTAATTTCACCATGAAGACCCTCATTCATGAATAGCCACGATTCTCTCTAGCCAGTGATTTCACAGCAGGAGGTCTCTTTGAGGTATGGAGCAATTTATGTACTTCATAAGCAGGGAAGCAAGAGCACGAAGGCTATGCCTAAGGGGTCCCATCAGACATTGGGGTCCAAGAGCTTAAGCCCAAGATTTCATGCTGCCTATGAAATACAGCATTTGTTTTATTTAATTACTATCGAATAAGCACTACCGAAATCCCAAGACAAATATTTGTGGCGCTCATACTTCAAAGCTCTTCAAAACACCAGCAATGAAGCAAAAAATAAAAGGTCCCCTCTTACCTGATAAAATTATGATCAGGAGTTTACCATGATGGTCAAGGCAGCTGTGGAAAAACTTGATAGTATTGGGAATATCCTCCACACGGTACAGCATCTGGAAGTGACAGGAGTTAGGCACAGCTGGTTTGTTCCTCCTCCACAGTGCAATGGCTCTTCAAAGGCTTAAACACTTTCTCTATAGAGCTGTTGTTTTAAATTACTTCCCAGTTGTTTCCCAGCCTGTCTTGGCTCATCACGCACGTTTAGGGATGCCTTACAAGACTGAGCATCACCAGCTCTCCACTGGCACCAACAGCCTGGGGTCACACCACCCTCTGCTCAGCCTCAGCCACCAGCCAGACACGGACCTGCCCATCGCTGCCCTCCAAGCCCAGTGCAGTTTTGTGGTTGGAAAATATGTGCAGAGGGGAGTCCCCTGGTTTCTGTGGATGGTCCTTATTACAGCATTTCTCATCTGTGTCTGGGCCGTGAGCAGGCTGGATCTCTTCCAGACACTGAGAAATTTGCACTAGGACAAAGCAGGGCTCAACTCAAAGGCTGCCCTCAGGACTTGTAACTTATTCCTTGACTCAGCCATCAAATCCCTGAAACACTTTCTCGTTGTGAAATCAGCTCTTATGAAATGAAAGCAAAATGAAATAAAAGAAAAATTCAATAAAATCCACTAAAGTGAGAGAATAACAGATTTTTTACAAAAATAATTGGTACATACAACATCAGTGTCATCAGTATCAGCATAATTTCTGACCCACAACCTGACACAGGTGTTCATTCACTAACCTTTCCCTTCAGTGCCATCCAAACTATTCTGATAAGGCAAAAAAATTAAGTTTTTTTGCAGCAGCAAAGCATAATTGTTGGTCTCGATGTGACACGTGACTGCCTGAGACTCACCCTGTTTTATTACCCACCATAGACAGTTAAACCAGTACGAACCAGAGACCAAAAGCAGGGTGGGTAGGGAATGAGGTTTGGTGCTTGTAGAGCTGCAGAAGTATAACTTCTCATATAACTTGCTCATGGGAGAACTGTGCTCAGCTCTGGTCCCCCTAACTTCATGCACACAGCAGAAATGGGGTGGTTAAAGCTAGTACTCCTATACCAAAGCAATACTCCATTACCTGGATCATATGGATGAAGTCAAATTTCTTATGTGCGCCTTTCTCTTTCACCTGTTGTTCATACTCTGAGGAAGTGAGCTGGTGCCAAATAAAAGAGACATTCTGCAGGTCTGGAGCTTGATTGACCAACTCTGTTTTTATTAAAAAGTAGAAGAAAAACATGATTTTCACAAACCAGCGGAAAAACTCATTGTTCAAAATAACAGTCCTCGCTATACCCAGGCAGACAGGTATAGCCTTACCTTTGTAAGCTGCCACGTGCTGTGGGTTGGGCTCTATGACTTCGTTGTCAATAAGGACCCCTGGGTGTGCAGCCTGCAGAATCCTGATCATTTTCAAATCCTGCTCACCTATTCAATAAACACAAATGCGTTACTTTAAAAAGTACATAAACGTGGTGAAAGGATGCCGGTGCGCCTGCCGCCTCTGCTGCCCGGATTTCCCCCAAGGAGAACTGAGGCACTCTCTACCTTGGGCCTTGCATGGTGGCACCTAACCCAGGCTTACCACGGTATCTTACTGCTCGGGGTAACATATATTTGCAGAAAGGACTAAGAACAAGGAAGAGATAAGCAACCGTGCAGAAGCCTGCTAATGGCAACACTCTGGGTCATGGGACAGGCAGGGCAAAGCAATCAAAGATCAATGTCTAAAAAAGAATAAACATGAAGCATTAGTTTTCAACAAAACACAAAGTTTGAATGGGGGCAAGGAGGGAGTCAGCACAGCTGTGCAACTTCAGCGTGACATGGGGTGGTCCTTGCCTTTGGCACTGCCCCAGGGAGGTCACGGCTGCTCTGCTGCTGGTGTGACATGGAGACCTGGGGACCTGCATGGCAAGAGGAGAGACCCTGGGTCTCCCCTCTTTGGGGACCAGCCACATCGTCTCAGCTCTGGGCATCTACTAACGAGCTGCAAATAGAGCCTCATATATTTGTGTGTAGGTACCCTGCAAATTTAGCTATTGGTGCTCCTCTGTTGCTAAGCTCTGGAGGAGCAAGCGGCAGTCTGTCCTGACCTAGGAAGCTGCCAGCCTCTTTCAAGGCGATGCAGGTCACCCTTATTTCTTTCAGAAAGGCCGCAATACACCGAGTGTACAAAGTCCATCCGGTTCATCTGGGACTATGTAAATAAACAGCAGAGGTGACCACCTTGAGCGGACCTTTGTGGGAATCCTGTCTGTAGCTGATGGTGGGGCCTAAAAATATCCTGCCATTGCAAATGTCACACACAGAGGGCTTGATACGGGATACTGCATCTTCCCTAGCCTTTCAGCTGATGCACCAGCTATGAGAAAAGCCGTCATCTTTGGCAGGTGTTGCAGTAAATAGAATTCAAGGAGGGAAACATCAGCCATGTCAGCACTACAGGGACATCCAAGGAAGGATGAGTCTTTTGAAATTGGAGAAAATATACCCCAGATCCCTGAGGAATGCAGGGGCAGTGGTGCAGGGCTGGCCAAAGCACAAGGAAAGAGGCTGCGGCTGCATCCATTGAAGGTGGGTGCATGGACCAATATTGCCTATAGCAATATAGATCCCTATAGCAAGCAGCTGAATCATTTTAGACAGTCCTAAATGCCAGTTCCTATGTGCCGGGGGTGGGGAGCACCAGCAACTGGAGGTGCTGACGTGGGCTCCCTGCAGGCTCAGGGCGGGCGGGAGGCAGAGCATCACTGCCGCATGCCCGTAGACATGGATGGTGGCAAATGGGTATATCAACAGCAAATGGGTATCTTAAAAGCTGTTGTGGTTTTTGCTTTGTGTTTTTTTTTTTTTTTACCCCACCTCTGTAAAATGCCCTAATCCGGTCTTTGCAAGAGCAAGTAATAATGTCCTCCTCTGGGGTGTCTGCAAAAACAAGTGGTAAAATACAGTGCTTCAGAGCAGGATTTTCTCTGCTCCAGCTTCTCCTGCCAGCAGCAACCCTTCAGCACTAAGCACAGTGAGGCTGAAAGAGGAGCGAAACCCCTCTGCAAACAGCAGCCCATGCTGGCACTAACCGGGGGTTACAGCCGAGACAGCTAAACCAGCCGCAGGAAAACATGGGGTGAATGAGAAATGTGATCTGGACTGGACAACAGTCTGTTAGGATGTGGAGTCGGTCACTAATCCCCATCAATATTTTCATCAACTAAACTAATTCTGGAGGCTCTGTGAAATCAGAGTCCAAGCCTGGAAAGGTCAGGGATCAGATATAACCTTTTGCTCAGCACTGTCCTAGCTCAGTGCTCTGCCCGGCTGCAGTCCAGCTTGTGCAGCCGTGGGCAAGCTGAGGGGGTGCGAGTCTGTACCCCTGCCCTGGCATCTGTGAGGGGCAGCTGCCCAGGAAGCCCAGGACACTTTTTTAGAGTATTTGTTTTTCTGTTAAAACATCTTCTGAAGAGGAAAAAGGGAAAAATGAGGATGGTGCAAAAGGTTCATTTTTCCCTTGTGTTTTCTTGGAGTCAGAATTTGGTGGTTTTATTACTTAATGAAAATGGAGTATAATTGAAAACTGAATAATTTCTTTCTCTTTGCTTCCTCATGTGCTCCAACATATTCCGAACCAGAGAAAACAATTCAATGTTATTTTCCTCTTAGTCAGGAAAACACGCAAAAAATAGTGAGAAAAAAACCTTTCACTTGAAAGTATTAACACTTAAAATTCAGCTGAAAATACTTTTTAAAGCAAAAGCAAACTCTGACAAATCAAACTGCCACTTCTTTTCTCTACTTTTTATTTTCTCCCAGTTTTCCTAGGAGCAAAGCTGGATGTTTCACCACTTTTTTTTTTTTTTTTTTTAAAACCACAAATGTATTCAGAACAGCTTTAAAACCATTTTTCCAAAAGATTGTTTCTCTCTGGGGGGAAATATCATTTGCAGTCAAACCTTACTTATCACCATATAAAAACACAGTATTAAGAAAGAAACACATCTTGAAAAAGCTGAGGGCCCCATGCTAATGGTTGTGGCCAGCTGGTTTTGCACCTCTTGGAGCAGAGCATTGCCCAGTTTTGGCCTCTGGGATCCCTAGAAGCAAAGCAAAATGAGAGATCCCTTCAGGTGGGATATTCTAAGAATGGACTTTGGGTAGAACAAACCTCTCAGATGTCTCTCATTCTCTCCGATGAGGTTTGAAGATGCTCTCGTACCTAACCTGGAGCAAGACTTCTTGCTTTGAGACATATAAGTCAGGTAAGAGTCATCAAGAGGCAGAGACTGAGCTAAAATCGTCACACTCACCTCGCTCCTTGGGCAGATTTGAACAGCAGTGTTTCAGAGGGGAGCCAGGGAAGGAAGGGAGGGAGCATCGCTCTCATCCCGGCTCCACACCCCTTTTTGCCGTCTCGGCTTCAGTGAGAAACGCTATCATTAATGCCTAAGTAGTTATCACCATTGCTCAAAATTTCAGTATCACTCTCTGCCACCCATAGGGATCCCCCATCCCCCAGCATCAGGGGTGCTGCTAAGCTCCTTACCTGTGCCACTTCCAACCCCCAGAACGTTTATAGTCGACTTTCCATTGCCGAGACTGAAAAGATAAGTACACATTCCTTAACCACACTAGGTCACACTACTTCATGTTTTAATTCTAGTATCTTGGATGCCACATCAGCCTGGAAAGTTAACTGAGTTTTGCCACATGAATTGGGATAGAAATTTGAGCATCCCTTTGGAGCCCAGCTATAACCAGCTATGCGGTAGGAGCCAGCCCCATATTACCAAGCTCATATTTCAAAGTACAGCAGGCATCAGGATATAGTGTTTCTCATCCTTTGCCAGAGATTTTTCTTCAAGCTGTGGCTGGCACCATGCAAAAAGGCCTTGGGGAGCCCCAGGAGAAAAGGTTCCTTTTGGGGGTAGCAGGGCTGTGCCTGGATGGGACGGACACTGCTCCCCAACGAGAGCTGCAGGGACGATGTGAGCCAGGGAGAAACCTCTGCACCCTCAGGAGACGTTTGGTTTTCCAATATTGTGTATAAGTGCCCAGAAAAATTAAAAAATCAGGCTGTCCAGATGACCGGAAACCCTCTCTTTTCAATATTCCTCTTGGCTTGAAATTGGGAGGAAAGGTCAAAATCTTCAATAATTTTACCTTTAAAAAATTACTTCTGAAAAGGTCAAAAAAAACCTGCCACCTTTGTGGTTCCTAGCAGAATATTTAATAACAGCCTGCCTTGAGGATGAGGAGCCCAGGCGTGAGGCACCTCGCTGCTCTGACACGCTTTATGGCCTTATTCTGCTCTCGGGCACGGACTGTGCAGAGGGACTGAGTTTCCCATACACAGTCTCAGGAGACGCCGCAGCGATGGTTCAATACGAGGGGACAGAGTAGTAAACCCTGCAAGGTGTGAGCTAGTCAAGGAGCCCTAGCCTTAACGAAGGTCAAGGCCCTTTGACAGACCCAGAATCAGCATCATAGGAAGTCACAATGTTTAGCATCATTTAAAGTCCACATAAGTAAATTTTTTATTTAAAATTTCCCAATACAAATTATTTTTTAATTATTATTTCTATTGCTTTTTTTTTTTTATATATATATGGTCTGGAGTTGCCTGCCTGAATTTTTTTCTCAATGGAGAATACAGTTTCCATAGCATTCAGAAATTACCCAAACTTGAAAGATCTTTCTTGTGGTTTGGATCTAGGCTGCTCTAAAACTTATCTGCAGTCATCCAGGCTTAATATATTACATCAATACTTCACAAAACTGATTATCATTTGGTACTTAAGCAATGCAAATCGACTTAGGATAGAAATAGGGAGGTCTTAGGGGATTTAGAAAACCAAGAATTAGTCACTAGAAGAGTATTAGAGATGTGTTTCTGTTTAGACTGATGTGTGATGAAGTCCGAAAAGCAGGAAAAGAGAGAGCTTTCTTTTGGAAAAAAAACAAACGACAAAAAATACTTTAATCCTTGGAAAATCAGCTAATGAAAAGAGATAGACATGAAAATGAGGTCTTGATTCTTTCCTTAACATAAGCTGAGAGGCAGCACAGTGTATTAATTAAAATAGCACATATTCTGGAGTTATTAAAAAGAATATCCTAGAGCCTGCTATTAAGGGACTTAAAATTGAAAAGCATTAAAAGTTCATTCATGCCCCAGAAAATTCTTAAACGTGTTTGCTCACCCTTGTGCGCAATTTGCCCTCCCAAGATAAGAAGTGGCTTTCCCACGTCAGTGGAAGCGTTTCTTACCTAGCCATGATGTTGGGCATTTCTTCCTTGTTGAACTCATCCATGCACTGGTGCTCTGTTGAATGATCCAAAAATGACTTAAAGGCCTCTACATACTCCTCAGCCGTGAGACTTCTCATGGAAGGGATCACATATAGCTCTTGAGACACAAATACAAATGGTGTGTTAGCAGCTTCAAGGCAACTGAAGGATCAAAGCACTTACCTTGTGGAAGAAACCCAACCCAACAGGAGCCAGAGATTCAGGAAGATGGTACAGAGGACACATGGCCTCCATGCAGGTGAGCTCATGCAAACACTTTCCAACCTGTTCACACTCAGGGTTTGGAAATTATTCTTAGATGCTCTTTGATATTGGAGTGTTTGTTAAGAGCTTCATTACTACAGGTCAGCTTGAGGAAAATGTCTCCAAAATGCTTAACCAGATACAGGGTACTCAGTTTGCAGAAAGGGAGGTAACTGGAGTGTTTTTCTGGAAGACTCAAGGCAAGAAGGTGAAGGGAATCACACAGCAGGTCCAAACCTGGAGGGGCCATTGCTCTCACACATGCTGGACGGCGTAACTGAAATCACCAGCTGCCGGCACACTTGCTATTAGGGGTGATGCAACACAAAAACTGCCACTGTACCTGAAGCAAAGATAGTCAACCCTGTGCACCTCATTTCCAACTCTTGCTGGCATGGGAATACACTGTCCGGCTGGGGAGGTGAATTCCCCACTGGGAACTGCAGCTCACAGCCAGGAGGGCAACTGATAGCAAAAGCATTTCGTCTGAACAGGCTCATGCTCAAATGTGGGTGGCTGAGACTAAGATTTTTCTTTGAACCAATGCCCAGGACTACTCAAGGAGATGCAAGCAAGTATTTAAAAAACTCACTTTCCTGCTGTCTCATCCTAATGGCAGTGCTCCTGCCAGGGCACAAGTTCTGGCCAACTGCCTGGGTCTGAGGAGCAATGGTAAGACTAAGACTTGAGGCTCATGAGAAGATGCCATTCAGCTGAGTACTGGCTCTGGGGTCTATCTCAGACGGAGGGCTGCAGCAGGAAGGCAGTCACAGTGCAAGCCTCAACGTGTGAGATCAGCACTGGAAAGGTAGTATTCAATAGGAAAAAAATCAGCTTTTCCTCCTCGAAGAAATGAGGATGAAGGACAGGAATCAGCAGAACATCTTCATCCTCATTTTTGCCTTTTGAGGAGCTGCTAGTTTATCTTCTGTTTATAGTTGCCACTAATAAGAAAACTTTATATGTCTCATATAGGACTGTGCAATCTTAAAGTGGATGCCTGTGTTGTTTCCAAAACCACATGTCATTGGCAGCTCTGTTTCTGGTAAGTATGTATGGAGACCCTATGTCCAGCCTTGTTGGAGGTAAAGATATCAACAACTATCCTCAACACTTTGAACTATACCCTAACATAAGCCTGAAATCACCTGAACTGAAGTCAGTTTAGCATCCTGTTTCTTTTTTTTTTTTAAACAATCTCTAACTCCAGAAGAATTAAAACATGTTTGTAGTGATAGCAAGCTGAGTGGCCATTTTAATTTAATCTCTTTTTTTTTTTTTTTTTTTTTCTCCCAAATACCTGAATTATCGTGTGGAGCTGTCAGAATCTCTGCTTCAAAGTTCATGCTGGGGAACCTATTCCTGTAAGGAAAGTATAGCACTTCAGTTATTTGAAGAACCTGTACGCTTTTTTGAAGCTGCATTGAAAATGCGGAACAAAAGGGAGATGCTCCAGGACAATTTTTCCTCACCTGGTAAGCAATACTGTTTGTTCTCTTTTACCAGGATAAAGAAAGTCAAAATTTCTTGGTTAGCTGATCACCCATAAGTATCAGCAATGGACTGGCCACCTGCACCAGTGCTTGTCTGAGATGTATTGTGGAAGATTTTCCTCCCTCTGAAGAATTGTTAACCAGTCAATACAGTGGAAGGCATTAGACTAACTGATATTACACACTCTGCGAAACCTTTAATCATGAATGGAGTAGCAGAAATAACAGTGAAATTTGGAAAAGGCCCAAAGTTTTTCAGGACCTTTTTGCTTTGTGTTTTTTTTTTTTTTTAACTTCAGTTTTTCCTGGCTGCAAATATTACATTGGGTAACTTGTAGAAGGCACAGGACTTAAAGGGCAAAAGTCAAAGAGGTCATTTAACCATAAATGTTTTCATTCAGTCATATGTTTTCATTCTTAGTTTAAGGGTTTTTGTGAATATTTCCAGCAATGAAGTCATGTCTTTATTTTCCTTTGACAATGTGTCTCATCTATAAAATAGGGATGAGGTGCCACTAGCAAAAGAAAGGTATGAAATTAAATTGGAGCAAGGACCTCACTTCTGCAAAGAAAGTGTTGGGGTGAGGCTATCTATGCAAGGGGAATAGTCATCTTCTGGGTGTCATTTCAGTATCGAGATGCACAGCAAGACTTAGGGGTGATATTCCTGTACAACCTGGGTTTAGACACATTGCTGCTCACAAAGCTTTGCCATTAGAAAATGCTTCATGACAAGCAGTCTGCCATAGCAGTAAGCAGCCCCTGAGTCCCCTCTGCCAGGGATAAAAGTCCTGTGTGAATAAGAAATAAGCCAGGAGGTAGAAGAGGAAAAAAGGAGTCTTGCAGTAGGGCTCTGACATACAATATGTAATGACTGTGCTAGCAGGTAGCAAGGAAGTGGTCACGTGCAAATAGCGCAGTGCTTTGGTTGATGAAGGCAAGAAAAGACTGAAGTGAACCAGAAGTCTCAGAGATGCTGGGGAGCTGCCAGAGTCCTGCAGGAACAGTTGATCTCATTTGAGTTCACTGCCAAAGTCACGTACCTGGCTCCCATGAGGTACGTCAAAGTCTCGGTTCCATCACCTTGTCCTCACTTCTCCTCAGAAAAAATTTCACAGAAATTCGGCAAACAAGCCTGAACTCAGCCCACCTCCATAAGCTCCAGCTTGGCTGCAGGCCAGTCCCTCCAATTTCCACTCAACCCTCTGAACTCTTGCATCTCTGCCTGTCAAAACAGAGGACTATTTTGTCCTCTCAGCTGGCTGAACCGAGCAAGATGGTTTCCAGAATGAATCTCCCAGTAAAATGCCAAGGGGTAGCACAGCTTTCCCCTGTGCAGAGAAGAACAGCTCTCGGGGTCTGGGGACACAAACTCCATTTCTGACCGGTCAAACATTTCTAGCCATCCCAGAAGACCTGCCAGGTGACCTGGACAGACTGCAGCACAAGTATTCACCAGGATGGACGGTGCCAAGATAAGTCTTCCATTGAGACTTTTGCCATTTCTCCCCAGGCAGAGTTTCTAAGATTGATTAACGCTTGTTCCTGGGAAGGTGAAACAGGCTTACTTATCGCTGGGAACAAATGGACTTCCTCTAAAATCTGGCTTAAAATCTAGCCTAGATCTGAAAATTGACTGCAGTACTTTGGGCTGATGCTGCCCATCCCAAGACCCTGATACGCAACAGCAGGACCGAAGCAGTGACTGTCAGGGAGTGGGATGCTCGTGGGCAGCTGGTCCTGCCACGGCTCCTGGCTGAGTTGGAGCTTGCCATTAGCAAGATTAAACCTCTTCCCCTCCATGAACCGAGCAGATTGCATTACGGGCTGCAGGTGCAGGGCACAGAGGGAATTCAGTGTCACTTTAAGCGACGCAGCACCTTTAAGTTGAAAAAGTCATTAAATTCAAGATGTTTCTAGCTACATAAATCATAAGAACATCTTCATAACTCATCATTTCATTACGTCTAAACCTAGGCTGCTAAGGGGCTGAAGGTCTCCTCAGAGTCTAACTTAGCCCATCCAGAACATGGGCACATCTGCTGTTACTCCCACCTTACACACATCCACCTGTGACACAGAGACAGCAGGGGCGGCTCTACCACCCAGCCGGACGGTGGGGAAACGTGCACTCACTCCTTCCCAAAATCCACGTACCTCTTCATCTCCAGGGCTGGGTCCATGGTTGGGGCAAGTGCTGGGCATGGGGCTGGGGTTAGCCGGGGCCTGGCCCCTATGACAGCATGGCCACCTGCCACCCCGCTCCGCGCCGGCCGCTCAGCCCGC